ATGGAGGGGACGAGGGGGGGGGGGGGGGGGGGGGTGATGGAGGCGGGTTGGGGGAGGGCACACTTCTCCCTGCGTTGTCAACAAACATGGGTCTTGGCAAGGGTCTGGGCAAGGGCAAGGGTGAAGCCCGTGGTGAGGGCAAGGGTACGGACTGCGGTGGTGGCGGTGGTGGTGGTGGTGGTGGTGGTGGTGGTGGTGGTGGTGGCCTGCAGGATGGCGGCGCTGTTGCATGTGCGACAGACCCGTGTGCGGATGGTGGGTGGGGATGGCCGTGGACCTTTGTGAGGAGAGGAGCGGCAGGGAGAGGATGGGATGGGGACAAATGGGTGGGTGGTGAAGAGTCAAAGAGGCTCCTGCTGTCTCTCTGCTCTTTGTAGCAGGTGGCCAAGGAGGGGCTCCGCTTGTGGGCGTGCAGCCTTTTTCCGGGCGGTTCGACTTTTTTCTTCCAAAGCAAACGATATGGCTGTGGGGAGGCAAGGACGACGACAGGAGGGGAACTCATGGTAGAGATGGGCTGGGACGGACTGGAATGGATGGGATGTGGCGGGGGGGATAGGCTCGTTCATCTTTTCGCTCTACCGCGATCTGCTGGAGATGGGCCGGCACATTCTCGGCTGCGCGTGCTGCTGCCTGTGCATCGGGCCGATTCTGCTGCTGGTGGCGGTCATCTTCCTGGCGGCAGCAGCGGCCAACTCGCGGGCGGATCAGGTGAAGAAGTACAACGCGGCGGTCGACACGTGGAACACGGGCGTGCGGACCTCGTTCGAGCAGGCCACGTTTGTCAACTTGGACCCGCCGAGCGGAGTCTCGGGCACGTTCTCGGCCGACACATCTGCCGATCCGATCCGTGACTCGGACACCAAGGGCTTGCACACATACACGGCGCTCAAGTACACCACGACCGGGCTGGATGCTCCAGTGCCGTCGGACAGCTCGGGCACGTACTCGTGGAGCGTTCAGGCGACGCAGCAGGGCTCGCCATCCAAGACGCTCAACACGGTGATCACGACCAAGCAGTCGACGACCAAGAGCCCGTCGCAGCTCTCGCAAACGTGCTCGACGACGAGCACGTCGGGCTCGTCGACTCGGTCGAGCAGCTCGAGCAGCAACAACAACAGCCCGTCGTGCTCGCAGGTGTGCCAGGACGACGGTGGCTCGTGGACCGGCTCGGAGTGCCGGTTTGTGGCGTACATGTCCCAGGTCTGCCTCAAGGTCACGCTCGACTCGTCGTCGCAGTACGCGGTCTCGGGTGAGTTTGGCGGCAACGGGTGCTTCCCCTGCCTGGCATACACCCGGCAGCAGCGCGCAATCTGCACCGACTACGAGGTCTCGGTCCTCTCGACCGGCTCGGCTTCGTTCTCCTCGGTTCCGGTTGTCATCCGCAACAAGGACGACCCATACATTGCGCTCGGCCACATCACCGACGGTACGTTCAACTTTGGCCTCTCGCGCGCTGCGCTCCTCCTCCTCGCCATTGTCTTCTTTGCCATCGGTGGCTTCTTCTGCTGCGGCGTCTACGGCTCTCTCTGGTTTGTCGCCAACTGGCTCCGCACCCGTAACGGCGGCAAGTCGTATCAGGCTGTCGGCAACCGCGGCGGTGCCGCCCCGTACGCCCAGGCCCAGCCTGCGCCGTACGGCCAGCAGCCTTACGCCCAGCCGCAGCCACAGTACGGCTCGCAGCCGCAGCCGTATGGCCAGCCGCAGGGCGCCCCGCCGCCGCCAGGCTTCTACCAGGCCCCGGCGCCGTCGTACTGATCGCCATGCCATGGTCGTGCAGAGACGATAAATGATGATCGGTTGACCGTCCATGTCCCTGCCGCAGTGCGCGAGGCCATTCCGGGAGGTGGGGGTGGTGGCGGCGGCCTCCTCGGCGCTCCAAGCCACTTGACTGTCGACTGTAGCAGGCGAACAAGAGGCATGGCCGAGGCAGCTGGCGGTACGGCTGGAACAAGCAGAGAGGAAGAGGCGCACGTGAGTGTGGGCAGCGTTGGTGAGGCGAGCAGCAATAGGCGCAACATGGCGGCGTATGTCGGGTGGACCGACGAGGCGGCGCGAGCGGGCGACGAGGTGAGGATGGTGGTGGTGTCGGACGTCCACGGCGAGGTGGCGCAAGCGCACCGGGCGGTGGCATGGGTGGCGGACAACGGAGTCGCGCCTGATGTGGTAGTTGTCCTCGGTGATCTGGCCAACATCAAGACGGCCGAGATGGAGCAGCCGGCGGCGGCGATGGCGGCCGAGGGCGACGTGGCGGTGCTGCTCGACATCCTCGCCAACATCGACGCGCCGCTGGTGTGGATTCCGGGCAACCACGATCCTCCGGTAGCACACCAGCCGGGATGCAGCTCTCCGCAGCTTGTTGACGGCACGCACTCGGCTCATCTCTCGGTCGTTCCGCTCGCCCGTGACTTGCTCATGGTCGGGTGCGGCGGCTCGGTGCCGGCGCTCGATGGCGACGGTGCACAGGTGTGGGATGGGTATCCGTGGACCGAGGAGCAGCTGGAGGCTGCGCTGGAAAGCGTTGCGGGGCCGTTGGTGGGCAAGAGTACGAGCGAGAAGGCCTCGATTGTGCTGCTCACCCACTGCGGACCTAGCAGGTGCTCGACGACGGTGTATCCGCGTGCGCCGCCGGCGAGCGAGGTGCTCACGGGCTCGGGCGCGCTCGAGCGGCTACTGCGGCGGCCGGAGATGCAAGCAGCTGTGACGGTCAACATGCACGGGCACACACATCCTGGGTGGGGGCTGGGGCACATCGGCATGGTGCCTGTCTTCAATCCGGGATCGCTCCGCGATGGGCGGCTGGGGCTGGTGCGGCTGCGGCGGAGCGTGCGGCCGTCGGGCGAGTTAGGCGAGTGGCAGGTCTCGCGGGCCGAGATTGTTGTCCTTCCGCCGTAGCTACGAGGACTGGGCCGTGACCGAGTCGCGGAGAACGGTCCGCATCAGCTCGGCCCACTTGCGTGCGGCGTCGAGCGCCAACTCGGTGGCGGTGGCAAGCGTGGCAGGGTCAAACTGGCCGGTCAGTGCATACTGCGACAGCTCGTCAACAGCAGGCATGTACGCAAGGGCAACCGCGCCTTGGGCAGCGTCCTCCTCGGGCCGCGACGGGTCGACCAGCAACGCGTCGCCAAGCTGGACCACGGTCGCCCCGACGGCAAGGTCGTACATCTCGATGCCGGCGTGGGCCAGCGCGAGCGACGCCGCCGACACGCACGCGCCTGTCGTTGCGCCGTCATCTTCCAGCACCAGCAGTCGGACCTCGATGGTCGACTTGGGGTACGCATCGCGGCGGACCGCCGCCGCCAGCGCAGCCTGCACCAGCAGAGAGGCCTCGGCATCGGAATCCGACGGCACGTACGACGTCCGCTCGCCCGCAGCGGCAAACGGAGCGCTCGACACGTGGGTCTCCACGTTGGCAGACGCCGTAAACTGGGCATCAAACGAAGGCTTCGGCCCGTACACCGCAGCCACCACCTTGGTCCCACCGAGCTCCACATAAGCCGAGCCTGCCGCCGGGCTCACCAGTCCCAGCGCCATGTCTGCATCATCCCCCCCGCGTGTATGCCCACATTATCAAGATCGATCGTGAGTATGGCTCTCTCTCTCTCTCTGTCTGTGTCTCTTCCCATCTCCCCCCCCCCCCCCCATCCCCATCGCTTCCTGTCATGGTTATCGTACGGATGTCGCGGAAGGCGGCGGTGTGGCGGCCGTCGACCCGGTTGCCCTCGGCCGCAGCCGCGGCTGCGGCCTTTGCGCGCGCAGCTGTTGCTGTGAGCAGGTGTTTGGCAGCAGGGACAGAGCCCTCTGTGGTCTTCCCCTCACCGTGCTTGTTGCTACTTTGGCTTGCTCCGCCGGATGTAGTAGACCCTGACGTGGCCATGGCCTCTGCCTCCGGGATGGGAGCCGATCGGACCCGCGGAGCGACGGTCTCCACAGGGCAGACCATGCGGAACTGGTCGTTCACCGCCATGACTCAGGTATATGTGACGAGAAAGGTGTAGGTGGCTGGTGGGCGGCTGGTGGGGCTGTAGGGAGAAGTGTGTGCGGTGATGGATCCGGCCGATGGGCGCGGAGGGGTGGGCGTCGGTGTATGACCAGCCTACGGGCGATGTGTGGCCAGCCTACGGGCGATGTATGACCAGCCTACGGGCGATGTGTGGCCAGCCTACGGGCGATGTATGACCAGCCTACGGGCGATGTGTGGCCAGCCTACGGGCGATGTGTGGCCAGCCTACGGGCGATGTGTGGCCAGCCTACGGGCGATGTGTGACCAGCCTACGGGCGATGTGTGGCCAGCCTACGGGCGATGTGTGACCAGCCTACGGGCGATGTGTGACCAGCCTACGGGCGATGTGTGGCCAGCCTACGGGCGATGTGTGACCAGCCTACGGGCGATGTGTGGCCAGCCGGCGAGCTGCGTGTCGGCAACGGCCTGCCGTCCCCCCTGCCACCAACACAGCAGCACTACAACAAGACGGACGACACACCAATTGTCTCGTCTGTTAGGCATAGTCATGGTGAAGACGACAAGCTCGCTGATGGCGGCAGTTGCTGTGACCATGGTCGTCGTGTGGGCGACTGTGGCAGAGGGCATCCCCTCGGGCGGCTTTGGCCTACCTGCCTCGGCCATGAACGCCCTCCTCCAGGCCGAGCACGCCACCATTGTGGCCGATGTAACGGCACTCATGGAGGTCCCGTCCGATTGCTGCTACGACAACGTCGGCGCCAAGACCGTCCATCTCTGCCTGCAGAGCCAGAAGCTTTCGGGCCTGCAGCTGGAGCTGGCGGTGGAGACCGGCGACGCCTCGGGCTTGGCCATCGGCTACACGGCCGGCATCACCTACACCTCGGGCTACCGGCTCTGTGCTCGCGAGATCGTCGGCGGATGCAGCAAGCTATTTGGCTGCTCGGGATCGGCCGAGGTTGTGGTTGAGGCCAAGGGTGGGCTCGGCACGGCGCTGACTGTTGCTACTGACGGGCACGTTGCTCTGGCGGCGAACGAGGTCTCGGTGGCCGTCACGCTGCCGACCGTCTCGCTCTGCTCCAAGATTGCCGACAAGATTCGCGACGACGTGGCGAGCATCGAAGCCGTGGCCAAGGCCGCCGTGAGCAAGGCCATGGACGCCGCACTTGCCCGCATCGCTGCCAAAATCCCGTATGCCCATGTGGTCGACGAGACTATCGGGCTGGCGTGGATATTTGACGCTGCCGGCGCATCGTTCAACGGCAAGGACGGGCTGATCATAGACGCCGATGTCGCTGTTGCGGACGTTGCGTCTGGTCAGCATTTGCCGGCGCCGTTCAAGCCAGCTGGCCCGCTGCCGGATCTCACGCCGCTTGTCTCGGCGCCGTCGAGCCAGGCCGCGTTTGCAATCTCGGATGCGCTGGCGTCAAACGTTGCATGGGCGCTGTGGAAGGCCGGCAAGCTGCAGATGGTCATCAACGCGACGGTACTCGGCCAAGCGCTGACTGGTAATGCCAAGGTCACCGCTGCCCCTGTGGTCACCTTTGGCCCGGCCGCTGTCGCCGCGGACATGACCATCCAGGTTAACGCGTCGGCAAGTATCTACCTCGGCGGCAACTTCTTCGGCGCGCCCACCTTTGACGCCCTGGCCGGCGTCTCAGTGGTGTACAACGCCTCGCGCGCCGGATTTGAGGCCTCGGCCTCGCTGCTCTCGCTCAAGGTCGGCAACGTGTCGGCCTTTGTCGCCGATGCCATCAAAGGCGCGGCAGCCAAGGAGGTCGTCGCGCTCAACGCCAAGCTCGCCGACATGGTCATTCCTATCCCTCCCATCGACGGCGTGACCATCAAGGAGCCGAAGCTGGACTTTTCCCTGCACGTCGCGGTTTTCCACGGCCTGCCCGTCGTCGCCGCAGGCTTCTCGGCCGTCCCGACCTCGATCTTCGACGTCACCGCCCTCGCCTGCCCCTCCATCCCAGGCGCCCATCAGGATGCCTGCAAGTGCTGATCCATGTCGAGCCATGTTGTCGACTCTGTGGCATGACAGTGGATGCAATGGATGAGTCATTTTCAAACACAAAACCCTCTCTGCCTGCCGCAGTGCTGCCTCGGCCGACCATCGTCCGCCCCCCCCCCTCTCCAACCTCCACACTCGACTCGGTCGTCAGGCGGGGGGAGCGAGGCATGCTTGACCGCGTCAAGTGCCTCACACCACACAAGGTGGCTCTTCTTGGCCTTGTGCAGTACTATGTGGAGAACACAGGATCCAGCGACCTTGCCCTGTTCCTTGTCCGTGAGCTGGAGGTATGTGTGGTGACGAGGGGGAGGGAGGAGGGAGGAAGGGAGGGCTGCGCGCCAAACGCCGGGCGGGCTGGGCGGGCTGGGCCGGCTGGGCCGGCTGGAGGAGGAGGGGGAAAGGTGTGCATGCCTACCATGAGCATGTGTGCACCGCAAGTAGAGGAGAGGGGAGGAGACTTACCCATGACGGGTGATGGTATGACTTTGGTCGGCGCGGTCGGCTGGTTGGTGCGGTCGGCGGGTTGGCGCGATGGGGGGGTGGTCGATCGGCGACGCTTCCAGTCGGATGAGGTCAATGAGGATCATGGGCTGGCCTATCTTTATCGGCGGATCCAGGTTGTCAATCGTGGCTCGATGCTATGCGATCGACTGCTAACGCTGCTGATGACGCTATCCGAATCGCCGGACGCGCTGCTGGACACGTTTGCGGCGCTGGGTGAGATGCTCAAGGCCGACGGGCACTACTCGGTGGCAGACGGCCGGCTCAAGCTTGACTCGGTCATGGGCTTGTTTGTCCGCCGACAGCTGTTAACCTTTAACAAGCTCTCGTTTGACGGCATGACCCGGCTGTGGCGGGCCATTGTGGCTTACAAGGACTCGCACATCGAGTTTCTCAACTCGGTTCTTCGCAACGACGAGCCCGAGCGCGCGGCTGATCCGCTGCTGCCGGACGACGCCCGAACCCAGTCGCAGGCGGCGTTTCTAGAGGCGCTCGAGTGCAACGAGTACCCAGGCGCACTTGAGGCTGCTCACCGGTACTTTGACTATGCCATCCACGCGGCGGCATGCGAGGCGGGAGGCGGGCGCCGGGCGGGGAGGGGCGCGAGGCTGACGGTGCGCCCGCTAGCAGTACCCGGTGTGCTCACGCCGTCACCACTCGCGAGTAACTTGCTGCCGTACGCGGTGCTCAATTTGGCAGCGGTCCACGTCCGCTTCGGCCACGGCGATCTCGCGCGGCTGGCGCTGCTGGAGACAGTGCAGATTGCGCAGGAGGCCCACGATGCGCGGTGTCTTGTCGAGGCGCTGATGTGGCTGCAACAGCTTGCGCCGTCGGCAAGCGAGCAGGCGACGCTGCTGCAACGTGCACTCGTCCGCGGAGCCTCGCTCTCGCTGCCTGAGCTCAATGCCGTGGCAGCGGTGGCGCTGGCACAGCACGCTGCATCCGTGCCGCAGCGGCCGACGGCAGTGCTGCTCTCGGACGCGGCGCAGCGGTCCGAGACGGCGCCGCTGGCGGTCGAGGCCTACCTGCGGACCGCACAGCAGGTGTGCGCCAATGCGGGTCTCGCGCCGTTGGCCGGCCTCGTCTTGGCCACACGGTCGGCTATGTGGCTCGAGTACGGCGCGTTGGCTCTGGCCAAGCTGGAGATCCAGACGCAGCTCGAGCACTACACAGCGCATGGGCGCGACACTGATGTGGCGTCTGCGCACTGCCAGCTCGCGCTCATCCTTGCTCTGCACGAGGGCGGCTTTCACCTCGCTTTTGAGTCGTTGTTGCGGCTGGAGACGTTGCTTGTCTCGCGCTCGGTCGACGCGCTCGTTGTGTGGTATCGAACCGCGCTGGTGCTGGCGTACGAAGCAGCGTTGATGCGTGGAAGCCTCACGGTGGCGCTGCGGTACGCGACAACGCTGGTGACGATGGGCTCGCTCCCGCGGTCGCCGCGCGAGCACGTGCTCGACGCGCGGATGCGGGTAGCGCGGGTCCATGTGCACGCTGGGGACACGGCGGCAGCGCTGCGGGCGCTGCCGCCGCTTGAGGCCGTGGTTGGGAGCGTGGCCCACGCCGAGTACAAGCTGGTCGAGGGCGAGGTCCATGCCGCCGCAGGCTCGCCGGTCACCGCGCTGCAGCATCTGCTGATGGCGCTGACGCTCGCCGAATCTTTCCACGCCGCACCGCTGCACGCTATGGTGGCGGTTGCCCTCGCCGGCGTCCACGTTGAGCTTGCCGACGCGCCCAAGGCAGCGTCGCTTCTGGCCTCTGTCGCGCCGCTGGTCCTCGAAGCCGCGCCGCTGTACGAGCGTGGGCGGTTCCATCTGGTCTCGGCGCGGGCAGCGCTTGCGTTCGCCGAGCCCAATCTGGAGCGTGCCGAGGCGGCGCTGGAATCTGCGGTGGTGGCGCTGCGCAAGGTCGGTGCGCTGACGGAGCTAGCGCAGGCCCACTACCTGCAGGCGCGAGTGGTGCTGGCACGCGGCGGGCCTGAGGCGCGGTCGCGGGCAACCGCCGCCGCACGGTGTGTCCAAAAGTGCGAGGCTGCCATGGCCAAGAACGAGTCGAGCATGGCATCGTCCAACGTGCTTGTCGACACGCCAGCCGGCCTCGATCTTCAGCTGCAGGCCATCCGACAGCGGTCGCGGGCGACGTTCGGCTCGCCGCTCAAGGTCGACGTCGCGTCGCGGATCGGAGCCGGACTCGGCGCTGTAGCGCTAGTCGACGACTCGGACGATCCGACCGCGTTTGTTGTCCGTGAGCTGCTCCTTGCCCAAGCCCAAGAGGCCGGCGAGTTTGAGTAGCGAGTTTTGATAAAGATGATGATGAGGGGGTGGCCAACGGCCGAGTGAGTGGCACTTGACGCCGACTTCGGGGCCGAGTGGAGGCAGGCATGGCGATAGCGGGAGACCACCCAGTGGCAGCCAGACACCCGGCCGTGGCGCAAGTGTGTACAGGTCTGGTGAGCTCGGTGTTTGAGGCTGTGGTGGCGACGCTCGGTGGCAGCGGCAGTGGCGGTGGCGGCGGCGGTGGTGGCGGCGGTGGCGGCAGTGGCGGTGGCGGCGGTGGCGGTGGCGGTGGCGCGCGGCCGAGTGTTGGCGCAGGCGCAAGGGCCGGTGAGGAGGAAGACGCGGCGGCCCGGGGAATGCGTCTGGCGCGGCTTCGGATCCGAGAGCAAGCGCGACGAAGTGTGGAGCGGCAGAACGAGGCGGCACGGCGGGCGGCGGCGGCACGGGCCGAGCTGGAGGCGCTGGAGGCCGCACGGGAAGCGCAGACGGCGGCAGCGGTAGAGCAGCGGCGCGAGCTGCTGGCGCGACAGGTGGCGATGGCCGAGGAGGCGCGTAAGAGGCGGAACGCTGAGCGTGAGGCCCGTCTGGGCCGGCGTGCGGCGCAACGGATGGCGGCGCGGCGGGCCAACCGCGAGCCGGTGTGGGTGAGGATGGAGAAGGAGTACGTGCGCAAGATGGTTCTGCCCAAGCTGGAGGAGGAGCAGCGAGTGCGGGAGATGCGGCACGCGCGCAACAAGCCCCTCGACGCCAAGGAGATGGCGGCGTGGGAGGCCAAGGTGACGGCGGCGCGAGAGGCCCGGATGGCCGAGCTCCGTGCGGCTCGTCTGGCGTCGGCGCCGGCGGGCAAGCCAAAGTTCTTTACGGGCAAGCGTGCGCAAAAGGTGATCGAGGAAGAGAAACGCGAGCGCGATGGTCGCAAGATCGCCCGCAAGCGCGCTGCGGAGCAGCTTGCTAAGCGTGCCGAGTACGCGTCGGCGGTCCGCAAGCTCTACACCAAGTCGCCCAAGGGCGTCATTCCCAAGTCGACCATGGTCCTCTCGCCCGATCGTCCAGACTCGCCGGCTTCTACGATGAGCAGCAGTCCGAGTCGGCACGCGTCGGTCGATGTGGCCGAGTCGGCGGCCGCCAACGCCCGCGCCCTCTCGGCAGCGTCGCTGGCACAGGCGCACGAGCTGTCGGACGCCGCCGACGCAGCCGAGCACGCCGCCCTTGCATCGGCTGCCGATGCCGAGCAGCAGCTTGGTAGTGCCGCCGTCGACGCCACCGAGGCGCGGGTGGCCGAGCAGGGCCAGGTTACTGCCATGTACATCGACGCCATCAAGGCTAACCTCGCGTCGGTTGTCGCTGATCTCGGCGACGCGGGTGCCGGCAGCGGTAGTATCGATGAGAGCTATGACAAGTCGGGCGAGGATGACGAGTATGACGAGTATGATGAGTATGACGACGACGATGACGATGATGATGATGATGCTGATGACGACGAGTACGACGACGACGAGTACGACGACGACGGGTACGACGAGAGTGGCTCTGGAACGGACGAGTAAATCGAGTTTACCAGGCTAGCACAGACAAGGGCTAGAGAGTAGGCTGACGATCCGTCATGGTGGACCACAGATGCACAGTATTGGGGTGACCGACGGATGCGTTGACGCCGAAGGAGTCGAGGCACCAGCGGATGACGACGGCGATGACGTGGCCTCGGCAGCAAGAGCACGGGGCGAGAGGACATGATACAGAACTGTCATGAAGACGACGAGTCGGATGCTACAGCGAGAGCCTCTGCCACGAGCTCATGGCGCGGGACGTAGTTGTGAGCCGACTTGATGTGGAGAATGAGCCATGTGACAAAGCCCACAATGGCGGCCACCACGACATACGGCTTCTGCTCGGCCCAGAGCGCCTTGAGCCCCGACGAGGGGGAGAGCCACGGCTGGCAGACTTGCGCATGGATGAGTGGGGAGGCCTGCAGTGGGTCGGGTGGTGAAGAGGGAGCGGAGCGGGGAGAATGGAGAAGGGAAGAAGAGAGTGAGGTGGTGATCGAGTGGGTGGAGGTGGTGGGTCTGGTGTGGTGGAGGGGGAGGGGGGGGGAAGGGGAGAGGGGTTGGCTGGTGGCCGGATCGAGGCGGCGAGAGACAGCATCCACTATGGCAGCCCAGCCCAGCAGTAGCAGCTGGCGATTTCGAGCAGGAGAGTCAAGGGGACAGCCAGATGACAGCAGAATTTAGGGCCGCCTTGCCGATGGCATCATCTACTATGTTGCCTTCTCCACGTAGCCTTTCTTGAGTACTTTCAGCTCATTGATAGCCACGCAATCGTTGCCGTGGAGTTGTCCGGCAGTGATGAAACTGTCCAACGAGCGTCAGCTTGGCACTCGAGCTCGTTTCTCCCCCATTCTGCCCCCCCCTCCCTTCCCCACCCGCTCGCCCCGCTCTCCACGACACACATCTCTCAGCACTGGCAACATGTCGGGACAGCCGCCTGCAGTGGTCATTGACAATGGTACCGGGTACGTATTGGAGTTGTAAATGGGTGCGAGAAGCTGAGCATGTGGTCTGTATGGCACTTGCTGTTGGGTGGGGACGGTGGCGGCTCGCGGGGGGAGCAGCTGTTCGGGGGAAGCCGGTGGCCTTGGTCACCCACTTTGGCGAGGGAATGGAGCGAGTGGGGAGGAGCCTAGAGGGCCGAGCGGAAGGGAGAGTCTCTAGGGTGGAAGGAGTTGACGGATAGGGGCCGGCTTGGGTGTCGGGTGGTTCGTAGAACGTGGAGAGGGGGGGGAGGGCGGCTGGCTTGGCTGTGGTGGTGACGACGGGCGGTGCCGGCTTCGCAAGAAAAAATGCCATCGTCGCCTCGTCGACAGCATTAGCGGTCGCTCGTGGTGGGGATGGGGGATGGGGCATGCGTGCGAGGGGAGGGGGAGGAGGGGAGGAGGTGGAAATGTTTATTGCTAGTGTAACAAGGCCGGCATCGGACCAGGAGGCCAAAGGCTAGGCAAGCGGGCGCGGGAGGCTCTTGTGGTGATGGTGAGTCATTGTGAGGCTGCGCCTGGCATTTTTTTCGTTGGTCTTGGGCAGGCTGCGGGAGGAGGACGAGGCAGACTCACTGGGAAACGACGGGCGCGGGATGGACAGGTACACCAAGATGGGCTTTGCCGGCAACGTGGAGCCGCAGTTTGTGGTGCCGACGGCGATTGCGTCGAACGAGGAGACTGCGTCGAACAAGGGAGCGCGTGGCGGCCCGTCGACGGTCAAGGGACTGGAGGACCTTGACTTCCACATTGGCGACGAGGCACTCGCTCACCAGAACACGTACCAGGTGTACTACCCGATCCGGCACGGGCAGATCGACAACTGGGACCACATGGAGCGGTTCTGGGAGCAGTGCTTCTTCAAGTACCTGCGTGCTGAGCCGGAGGACCACCACGTGCTCCTGACCGAGCCGCCGCTCAACCCGCCGGAGAACCGCGAGTACACTGCGGAGATCATGTTCGAGACTTTCAACGTGCCCGGGCTGTACATTGCGGTTCAGGCAGTGCTTGCACTTGCGGCGTCGTGGACGTCGTCTGCGGTGACGGAGCGGACGCTGACGGGCACGGTGATTGACTCGGGTGATGGCGTGACGCACGTCATCCCGGTCGCCGAGGGCTACGTCATCGGCTCTGCCATCAAGCACATTCCGATGGCCGGGCGCGACATCACATCGTTCATCCAGCAGCTGCTCCGCGAGCGCGAGGGCTCGGCGATTCCGCCGTCCGAGTCGCTGGAGGTGGCCAAGCGTGTCAAGGAGATGTTCTCGTACGTGTGCTCGGATGTGGCCAAGGAGTTCAGCAAGTACGACAAGGACCCGGCCAAGTGGATCAAGCAGTACGAGGGCGCCGACCCGCGGACCAAGAAGCCGTTCACCATCGACGTCGGCTACGAGCGCTTCCTCGGCCCCGAGCTGTTCTTCAACCCGGAGATCTTCTCGTCCGACTTCCTTACCCCGCTCCCCACCGTTGTCGACGCCTCGATCCAGGCCACGCCCATCGACGTCCGCCGCCCGCTGTACAAGAACATTGTGCTCTCGGGTGGTTCGACCATGTTCAAGGACTTTGGCCGCCGTCTCCAGCGCGACGTCAAGCGCACCGTCGACAAGCGCATCAAGGTCTCCGAGGAGCTCTCCGGCGGCCGCATCAAGGCCAAGCCCATCGAGGTCAACGTCATCTCGTACCCTATGCAGCGCAACGCTGTCTTCTTTGGCGGCTCCATGCTCTCCTCCACCCCCGAGTTCTACACCGTCTGCCACACCAAGGCCCAGTACGACGAGATCGGCCCGTCGCTCGCCCGCCACAACCCGGTCTTTGGCGCTGGCGCCTAACCGCGCTGCATCCTGCAATGAACCTGACCACACACCCGCCCCCCCCCCCCCCCCCTCCTTGCTGACCGCGTCCGCCGGCCGCTTGCCTTTGCCGATCAACCGGCGCTAAACGCCGCACCGCCACAGACCGCCATGTACCCAGGCCCCAGCCAGCCCAAGTACCGCCCCATGTCCACTATCCACCACGCAGTCCCTCCATCACACCATGCCCACCCTCGCTTGCATTGCTCATTGCTCTCAGCCCGTACCTCCGACCTCTAGCCGAGGGAGTTCTTGACCACCCCCCCTCTCTCCTCCTCCGCACCTAACCACGAGGACCGCCTCACAATATTTTTCATCGTTTGCCCTTTCCACCACAAGTACCCGGAGCCACCCACGCTGGTACAACAGCCGCTGCTTAGCAGGCAGGGCTGAGCGAATGGTCAGAGAAAGAAGCACAGGAGATTGGTTGGAACTGCCGTAGTTTATGCAAGTCTGACAGCCAAGGGCAAGACCAAGGTCATGAGGGGGGAGGGGGGGGGGGGGGGGCGGAAGGAGGCGGGGGAGGGTGGGTCGGCAAAACCTTACAGGCGTTTCGCCACTGCCGCTCAAGGTGCAAAGAAGAAGCCGCCGGTTGCAACGATTGTGCAACGAATAGTTTATGATCACTCACGGAGAGCCAGACTTCTCTTTCACTCGACTCTCGAGAACCCAAAAAATGGCCGTTTTGTCGACCAAGACCCTTGGGGTCCTTTTCCTGGCGATGCTGCTGCTGGCGTCTGTGGCTGAAGCCCGCCGCTGGCGCAACTTCAAGTGCCCGAAGCCCAAGGGCAAGTTCAAGGTAAGCAGCAACAAGGGCCGGGTGGAGGAGGAGGGGGGAGGGGGGGAATGCAGGGAGGGGGGGGAATGGTAGGGGGCGTACCGAGTCCAGCAACTGGTTTTTTGCTCATTGGCCGTTCGGCGGTAGCCGGCACGTGCCGAATGTTCGCTGCTTTTTTTTATGGTCGAGCTTGAGCTGACCAGTGTTCCTCTTCCGCACTCACGCACGCGCATGCGGACAATTTGTGCACGTGTGGACGAGAGTAGAAGTTCTTTTGCCGCGCGCTGACGATTGTCAAGAACAAGTGGAAGAAGTACATCGAGTACAAGCGTATCGAGCTCAGCTCGAACTCGCAGAAGAACTCGGACAAGCCTTGCGGAACGTGGGGATGGACGTGTATGTGTGGCGACGTGGACGAGTGCAAGGAAGGCCTTGCCGACTGCCCCGACGACACCACGTGCGTCAACACCCGTGATGGGTACGAGTGCAAGGACAACGTGCCGACCGACTCGCCACAGTGCATTGTCTCGCCCGACAAGGCCGAGGACCACAACTCGGGATCGGGCTCGGGCTCGGGCTCGCGCACCGCTCGTCGTCCAAGAACTCGCACCGGCCGTCGCCGCCGCCGCCTCAGCACGTGGTCGAGTGCCACGTCCGCGCCGATTGCGTGGATGGCACCTGCGTGTGCAAGGACGGGTTTGAGGGCGACGGCACGGCCAACGGCTCGGGATGCAGTGACATCGACGAGTGCGCCGACTCGCCGTGCACTGATCCGAACTGCCATTGCGTCAACTACGAGGGCTACTTTGAGTGCCCGTGTAACGCTGGGTTCGACTTTAACCCGGACGGCATTTGCGAGCCGAACACTCCGCCGGAGCCGGTCTGTGGCAACGGTGTGCTCGAGGGCGACGAGGAGTGCGACGACTTTGGTCTCTGCTGCTCGTCGACGTGCAAGTACCTCGGCGCCGACATCGAGTGCCGCGGTGCTGCCTCGGTCTGCGACGCCCCCGAGATGTGCACTGGCGTCTCGTCGGCCTGCCCGGCTGACTCGTTTGCGCCGGCCGGTACCTCGTGCGACAACCCGACGACTGCCTGCACCGTCGACACCTGCGACGGCACTGGTGTCTGCACGGATGGCTGCACATGCGGCAATGGCATTGTCGAGCCTGGCGAGGAGTGCGACGGTGGTGAGTGCTGCGCTGCCGACTGCACCTTTGCCGCCGCCGGCACCACCTGTGGCGCTGCGCCCTCGGGCCCTTGCGATGTCGCTGACACCTGCTCCGGTACCTCGGCGACCTGCACGGACGCTGTGGCCGATTCGACGGTTGTCTGCCGCGCTGCCGCCTCAGAGTGCGACGTCGCCGAGACCTGCGATGGCGTGACTGCCTCGTGCCCGGTCGACGGCTTTGCCGCCGCCGGCACCACCTGTGGCGCCGCGCCCTCGGGCCCGTGCGATGTCGCTGACACCTGCGCCGGTACCTCGGCGACCTGCGTCGCGAACGTCGCCGACTCGTCGGTTGTCTGCCGCGCCGCCGCCTCAGAGTGCGACGTCGCCGAGACCTGCGACGGCGTGACTGCCTCGTGCCCGGTCGACGGCTTTGCCGCCGCCGGCACGCCGTGCGGTGCCGCGCCCTCGGGCTCGTGCGATATGCCCGACACCTGCGCCGGCACTTCGGCGACCTGCGTCGACAACGTGGCTGACACCTCGTTTGTCTGCCGCGCTGCGGCGTCGACCTGCGACGTGGCCGAGACTTGCGACGGTGTGTCTGGCGCGTGCCCGGCCGACGGCTTTGCGCCGGACAACACGGCGTGTGACCTCGACGCCGATTCGTGCACTGCCGACACCTGCCAGGCTGGTGTGTGTACGGCGGGTGTGTCGACGTGCGACCCGCCGACGCCGCCGCCGCCGCCGGCGGGGCCCTGCGGTAACGGTATTGTCGACTTTGGCGAGGAGTGTGACCCGGGCAAGACCCTGCCCAACGGTGACCCGCACCCGGACAACGCCTGCTGCAACCCCGACTGCACCTTTGCGCCGATTGGCACCACGTGCGACGACGGCTTTGCCCACACCTCCGAAGACCAGTGCCAGCAGCTGTTCATCCTCACGACCTCGACGTTCTCGCTCCCGAGCCATGAGTTTGCCAAGCCTGTTGTCTGCACCGGCCTCCGCCAGTTTGGCGCCCAGTGTGGTGACGGCGCGGTGAACGTTGGTGAAGAGTGCGATGATGGCAACCTGTACGAGTACGACTGCTGCTCAGCGTCGTGCACCCAGCACTACCTTCAGCCGTGCTCGCACAACACTCGCTCTACGTGCGAGAAGACAATCTGCGCCAAGTACGAGTTCCAGTCCCGGCAGGGCTGCATTCCCAACGATCCGATGCTCTACCCTGACGAGCCGGCTTCCGCTTGGGACGTGGCTACGACTTCGCCGCTCTGCCCCGGTGCGTCGTCTGCGATCAACAGCGCCAGCTCAGAGGACAACACATCGTTCTTCTCCTCGTCGGCCGGCAAGGGCACCGCAGCCTCGCTCTCGGTCCTCGTTGTCGTTGTTGCTGTCGTCGCCGTCGTCATCTTTGCGCGCTCGCGCTCGTCCGGTTCGTCGGACGACGCTGCGCCGCCCGCCCTGCCCGTCGTTCCCGACGCCGTGGCCACCGCCGACCCGGCCGTCGTCATCGACGCCAACCCGGCGTTCAACCTCGCCGACTCGTCCGTCGCTGCCGTGCCCGCCGCCGAGCCGGCCGCTGTTGCCGCCGCCGTCGAGTCGGGCGCCATTATGACCTCGAACCCTCTGTTTGGCGTCGTCCTCTCGTCGGGCTCCTCGGGCTCCTCGGACGACGTGCCTCAGCTCTAGAGCATCCTCTGCTGTGGGGCCTCTTGTGCCGCACTTGTCGATGCTCCTGCGCCATTTTGATTCCTTTTGTTTTCGGCTCCGTTCCTTTCGTTTTTCAACCTCAACTTCAATCAATCAACACCTACACCAACATCATCCAACCGGTCCCTTTCCCTCTCCTTCCCTTTCCCATTTTGCTCCCACCAAGCAAGCAAACACATTCTCTTCATCGCGGAGCACGGGGTGCCTTCAAGCCGTAGAGCTGGCGGCGGCGGCAACCGACGAGGCCGACTCGGAGTAGCCTGCGGCCGAGAGGCCCTTGGTGGAGACGTTAAAGGTGACCTTGACGACGCCCGACGAGACAACGCGGGCGACCTCGCGGCCCTTGCCATCGCCCAGCACCTTGGGCAAGTTGAGAAACTCGGGCGGATCGCCAAAGAGCCATGCGTTGATCCGCTGCCAGAGCGAGGAGGAGCGTGGGCGGAAGGTCCGCACGTAGCGGGTGTACCGCCCTGGCGCCGTGGGCACGTGCACAAACCCGTAGCCCGCCAGCGTGTGGTTGCCCAGCCCGTTGATCGAAAACATCGAGACCAGCAGCCGCGGCCAGCCTGACACGTTGGTTGACGCGTACGCCACCTCGATGGGATAGTTGAAGACAAAGACCGGCGAGCCGCCGTCGACGCTCTTCCGCGCCACCTGCGTCAGCCCGGCCTCGGCCCCGTCCACCACCGTCCAGTCCTCCACGCCCTCGCCATTGTGTACAAAGTTGACTTTGGCAAACAGCCGGTCGTAGTCCTCAAACTGTACCCGTACCCATCCCCATCCACCGCACCCGCACCACTCCCTTTTGCCATGAGTTCCTCCATCCTCTGTCCGTTGTTGGTTGCCTGCCCTCTGTCGCGCCATCGTTGGCGCCAAACACGCTTGCAGCCATTCGCCCCCCTCCCCCCCCCCCCCTCCCTCCCCCTCCCTCCCCCTTCAGTCTCCCCTCGCACCCCCTTTCCATGTCCCCTACCAGTGCGGACTCGACCTGCCCGGAGACCACCACGAAGAACTGTGCCATGGTCGAGTGAGTGCGGTGGGTGGGGATGGGTGGCGTGCAGGGGGGGGGTGGAGAACGTGAACGTGATCGTGGTTGTGATCGTGTACATGATCATGGGTGTGATCGCGTAAGTGATCGTGTTTGTCTTCGATGGCGATACGTATCTTGATACTGATTGAGATGGCCGCAGTGATGTGGGTATGATACTCGACGTCGCCGTCGTCATCGTTACTACTATTGTGATCATGTTTGATGCTGTTGATGGGCTTGTTGATGGTCTTGATCCAGATCCTGATCCTGATCATGATCCTGATCCTGATCATGATCATGATCATGATCATGATCATGATCCTGATCCTTGTCATGATTGTCATTGATCGGGAGCCCTTCTCCGCCTCCAAATAAAATCAGTCACCATCCAGCCCCATCATTGCCATCAACCCCACCATGCGGCATCTGGCGGTAGGTGAACAAATCAGCGAACCCCTGATCCTGACCATGCTCCGGCCCCCTTCCCGTCCACCCGATCGCCATTCCTTTCTTTCAGTGATCACTCGTCGGTCAGTCCGGCGACAGAGCAGCAGCCGGCGACGGCGGCGGGCAAGCGGGCTGGGGCGGGAGACACGACTCGACTAGCGGCTTGTTGGAGGCAGAGGCAGAGAGGACAGACACGAGACAGCACAGCGACGAGTGAGAAAACGGAGCGCAGCATGGGCAAGAAGAGCTCCAAGAAGAGCTCCAAGAAGGCCCGCAAGGCAAAGACCGTTGCCGGCGACCGCCAGCCGCAGTCCGAGGCCAGCCGCAGTACGGGCAAGGGCAAGGGCAAGGGCACGGGAGAGGGCAAGAAGGGGAAGAAGGGCAAGAAGGGGAAGAAGAGCAAGGACAAAGGGAAGAAGAGGAAGGACAAGGGGAAGGCCATCGGCAAGTCCGCCACCAGCGACGACGCTGATGCAGGTGACGGCAGTGGCGAGAAGAAATCAAAGTCGAAGACCAAGGGCAAGGCCAAGGGCAAGGGCAAGGGCAAGGGCAAGGGCAAGGGCAAGGGCAAGGCCAAGGCCAAGGGCAAGGGCAAGGGCAAGGGCAAGGGCAAGGGCAAGGCCAAGGCTGACGTGTCAGGCACGGTATCGTCAGAGGAGACGCCATCGTCGTTCTCGCAGGTCCCAGGCGCGCTCTCCGACTCGGACTCGTCGTACATCGAGGCGGTCAAGCGGGTGTACGCCGACGACAACAAGAAGCACTATGGACGCCGGTTCGGGCTCGCCGATGACGATGCGTTCCTGGCCGAGATGCGCCAGCCGGTTGACCCTGCGTTTGACATCGAGCGGGTCGACGCGCGGACCATCTCGGCCCACGAGTTCCGCAAGCGGTACGAGGGCGGAAACAAGCCAGTCATCATTACAGGGCTCATGGATTCTTGGCCGGCCAATGACGCGTGGTCTCCCAAGAGCCTCATCCGCAAGTACGGCGAGACCAAGTTCCGCGTCTCGGGCACTGCCATGAAGCTCAAGCACTACCTCCGCTACGCGCGCGCTACGACCGACGACTCGCCGCTGTACTTGTTCGAGTCGCGGCTGCACGAGCCGGCCCGCGCTGACATGCTCAAAGACTTTACCGTCCCGCCTATGTTCAAGTACGACTACTTTGGCGTCCTGCCCACAGGCAAGCGGCCGCCGTTCCGCTGGATCGTGGCAGGGCCCAAGCGGACCGGGACCGACATCCACACCGACCCGCTCGGCACATCTGCGTGGAACGCGCTCACCCACGGCCACAAGCGCTGGGTCCTCTTCCCGCCCAAGCTCGCACCTGAGAAGTTTACCGGCTCGGCAAAGTGGGGCACCCAGGCCGCCGCGTACTGGTGGCAGCATGAGATCGCGAGCGTTCGCGACCGCGGCGCAGAGCTCGGCCTCATCGAGTGCATCCAGGGCCCGGGCGAGGTTATCTTTGTGCCGGGCGGCTGGCACCACGGCGTGCTCAATCTCGATTTTACTGTCGCCATCACCCAGAACTATGTTTCCAAGTACAACCTCAAGCGGGTGTGGCGGACGACGTACCGTGAGCGGACTCGCTTCGCACGCCGCTGGCGCAAGGTGCTCAACCTTGCCGAGCCCGACATCGCCGCCCGCCTCTCCCGCATCGACGGCGTTCACTCGGCCTCATCCTCGTTCTCCTCCTCCTCCTCGGGCTGGAGCCACGTCGACGAGCTACCGTCGATGCGCGACTCGAGGTCGGCTGTTTTGAGCTTGCCCGTCCGCCGCCGGGCGCCCGCGACTCGGCTCGCTCAGACGCCGCACACGCCTCCTCGTCCTCCTCGGGCTCGCTCTCATCTGGCCCTGTCGTTATTCGTCGCCGGTCTCGCCGATCCCGCAAGTCTCGTCGCTCTCGCAACTCGCATCGGGCCCGCTCCCGCGCCATGCACCACTCGGCCCCTCGCCGCGCCATCCGTACCCGCAATGCCCCCTCGTCGTCGGGCTGGCAGGATGCTGTCATGCGTGAGTCGATGGGCGGCGACGACTCGGAAGGCTCGACCGCCGGCGACCGCTTCCTCGCCGCCCGCGGCCAGCCACACGCCACCGCCGCACCCGCACCCGCAACCGCCCGCCCGCGCCCGCACCCGTCCGTCTCGCCCTCTGAGTCGTCCGAGTCGTACAGCGACTCGTCGTCACTGTCTCCGCCCTCGATCGTCAGCCTCGTCTCGGCCGACCGCCGGGCCATCGAGCGCGCGCTCAACTCGGACGACGACACCTCGTCGTTTGTGGCGCTCTTCACCTGACCATCCACGTTAAAGCCCCCTCTCACCCCATGGCATACAGCGCGCCGGCCAATCGTCATGGCACAACTGCGTACCATGAGCCTCTGTCGTGTATTTGAGGGCGTCGACACTAATGTACATAGTGGACGGATGTGGAGGGCTAGAGCTTGCACGTCCCTCCTCACTGCAGAAGGTCCGCGATGTTGGTAAGAGCGGCAACGCCCGGGAGCACCTTGCCCTCAAGGAGCTCGAGTGAGGCGCCGCCACCAGTCGAGACGTGCGAGACCTTGTCGTCGACGCCAAAGACTGACGCCGCCGTCGCGGTATCGCCGCCGCCGATGATGGTAGTGGCGCCAGAGTCGGCGGTGGCGGCGGCGGCGGCAGCGCAGAGCGTCTGGGTTCCGGCAGCAAACGGCTCCATCTCAAACACGCCCATCGGCCCGTTCCAAACCACCGTGGCAGCCGAGGCGATGACGGCGGCAAAGGCCTCCGACGACGCCGGCCCGATGTCGAGGCCCATCCAGCCCTCGGGCACGCCCGAGGTCGTGTCGTGAACCGCCGTTTTGGCGTCGGCAGCAAATGCGTCGGCGCACACAAAGTCGGTCGGAAGGTGGATGGTCACCCCGCGCGCCTTTGCCTTGGCCATCAGCTTTGGCACAATGGCTGCACCGTCGTCGTCAAAGAGCGAGGCGCCAATGGCGACATTGTGGGCAACCGCAAGGAAGGTAAAGGCCATGCCGCCGCCAATGATCATCGCATCGACCTTGTCGATGAGGTTCTCGATGAGCTGGATCTTGTCCTGCACCTTGGCGCCCCGAGGATCGAGACAAACGGCCGCGCAGGCTCCTCCAGGGCGGCGGCAAAGTAGCGGAGCTCCTTGGAGAGGAGCGCGCCAGCAATTCGGACCGGGTGCGGCATGCCGACCATCGATGAGTGTGCGCGGTGTGCTGTGCCAAACGCGTCGTTGACAAACACCTCGCCGTGCGCCGCGAGCGAGGCCCGGAACGTGTCGACAGCTTCGGCCGCAGGCTTGAATTTGTTGCCTTCGCCGTCGACACCCTTGCCCTCCTCCTCGGCGTGGAACCGCAGGTTCTCGAGTAGAAAGACTGAGCCCGGCGCAGGCTCGGCGGTGGCAGCTTCGGCCTCGGGCCCCACCGCAGGCGCCACAAACGTGACCGGCCGCTCCAGTAGCCGCTCGACCTCGGCAGCCACCACCGCGAGCGAGAGCTCGGGCTTGACCGCCCCACCCGGCCGGCCCAGATGCGACATGAGAACAACGGACCGCGCACCGCGTGCAAGCAGTGTCTGCACCGTCGGCATCGCCGCCACAATCCGCTGGTTCGACGAGATCGTGCCATCGGCCGCGAGTGGGACGTTAAAGTCGACACGGACAACAACCCGCTTGCCCTCAACCTCGGCTTCCTCAAGCGTCGCCTTGTCGAGGAACGACGGCGGCCGCGGCGGGGTGTACAGCGCACTCAGGTCGCCAAACTCAGCAGACGCCATGAGCGCCTCGGCGAGCATCGACGCCACCCGGTACGCGACCTGGACGACGCCGGCCTCGGTCGAGGCCAGCGTGAGTGCCAAACACGCCGCAGAGTTGGGCGCAGACTCATCAAACGCCATCGGGGCAATCTCCAGGTAGAACGGGTGCTCGGCGAGGAGGCCGAGCTGGCGGACGAGCGCCGCGTTACCAGCCACCAGCGAGCCGAGTTCAGGCGCCTCGGCCGTGGCCTCGACACCCTCGATCTTGGGATCCAGCTCGAGAGAAGGGAGGCCAAAGAGCGTGCCGAGCGGGAGGCCGCCCAGGACCTCGCCACCGACCGCACCTGCCGACCGCAGCGTCAATGCCGCCGCCGCCGGCGAGCGCAGGCCGAGCGGGAGGGTGAGGGTGGTGGCGAGGACCGGAGCGCCCGACTCTGGATCCTCTGAGCCGGGAACAGCAACAACAGCAACAGCGACACACGGGCGGTGCGGAGCAGAGCGCGGCGGGAAGACGATGTTGTTCCCGGGCGCCGGACCAGCCGTCGCCTTCTCGCCCTCGTCGCCCTGCCGGCACGCGGCGTCGGTGAGCCGTGCCACAGCCGCGGTCACAGCCGCGAGCATGGGGTCAGAGCCAAGCGGAAGAAGTGTGGGGGAAGCAGACATGGGCCGAGTGCTGTTGATGAGGGAGAGGGGTGAGAGGGAAGGGGAGAAGGGGAGGGGGGGGGGGGGGGCGACGAGAGTGACGGACGGTTGGAGGAGGGGGGTCCGTTTGTTCGCAAGTGGGTGGGAATGGGGTGGGGGGTGGGGGGGTGGGGGGGTGGGGGGTGGGGTGACAAAAAATTGATGCAATCGAGTTTGGGTGAGGCCACTTGTGTTCACTATGTGTTCTGCCTGCACAAACACAGCTGCGGCCACGCTTATCTTTCTCGCTCAACCTCGACGCAGCGGTGGGCACGTTCGCCTACGGTACAGCACAGCGAGAACGGATAGCCACGTGTGGGTGACTTGCGCGAGAGCAGAGTGAGAGAGAGAGTGTGTGTGAGTGCATGGGCAGGCAGGTTGAGCCAGGGGAGTCGCGGTCGGCATCGGCATCGGATCAGGTGTTACCGTCGATGGCCAAGTCGCGGCCGAGGCAGGCGCAGAAGAAGGATAGGAGGCACAGGCGATACGGCTCGGGATCATGCACGGGAACTTTGAGTGAGAGCAGCCGAGCCACCGACGAGACGTTGAGCGATGGCTCGGTGACTGTGACCAGCAGCCTGGACTCCGATGAGCCGTCAAAGACGTCTCGCAGGCCACGCAAGCCCAAGAGCGGCCGCGTGGACAGAGAGAATGGCACGAGTCGGCAAAATCACTCTACCTGCTGGCCGTGTCAAAGGACGCCACCGATGGTGGTGCTAATCGGAGTGGTCGTCGCAGCCTTTGTGCTCGCCACGCCGGCGGTAAGCTACACCGCGTACCGGTTGGCATCGCCGGCCCTCGGCGTCGTGGTGACGACCGTTGTCTACTTTGCGGTCATCCCGGCAGTTGCTGGAGCTGGAGCATACGCCAGCCTTGGCCTGTTCCGCTTCACCCAGCCGGATCGGTCAAACTGGCACTCGGTCATCAACGGGCACGTCATCAATCGGTGGGACATCGGGCTGGCGATGGGTCTTGCCGTCCTCGCCATGTGGCTTGGCCTAGCCGTGGCCGGCTCCGTCAACGGAGTCTACCTCGGCGTGGTTGGCGAGCTCGACTTTGCGCCACGCTACGTTGGCCCGGTGCCGGTGGCAGGCACGCCCCCAGCAGACGAGCTTGCGCGTGCCGTCTTTGCGGTCTTCGATGGCGCGCGGAGACTGGCATTTGAGGCGCGCGGGTATTTGTTCTCCACTAATCGCTACGGCAAGGAAACACTGGCGGTGACGGCAATGCCGCTGCTGCGACCGGGCAGCAACGTAACAGCCTTCTTTGTCTGCGTCTGCCACAACACCGGCCCGGTCGACTACGGCTGCCGCACGTTCCCTGCGATTCGGTACGGCGAGCCGGCGCTGCTCAATGATGCCAGCAACGCACAGGCTGTTCGCGTTCGATCGTCGGCGTTCCGCGACAGCTGCAAAAAGGCAGCCGCCGACGCTGTCGCCAACCGCTTGGCTCCTGCCAACCTCACTTTAAGCGTTCCGCTTGATGACGTTGTCTTCTTTGAGTGGGCTGACCTGAACAAGACCCGTCGCCACGCCATGCTCATTGTCGTTCTCTGTTCGATCTTCCTCCCGCTCCTCTCCGCAGTGTGGATTGCGCTCCTTTGCCGTGCCGCTGGCAAGCACCGCTGCCTGCAGACACCAGCGTCGGTGGCGGCCAAAAGGGCACAGCGCGGCTGATTGACCGATTCACTGCGGGGTCTGCGGCGGCGGCGCTGCGAGGTCGATTGCCGGGTCGTCTGAGAGCTCGTTGTCGTCGACGTAGTTGGGGTCGGCGTAGTACGCGTCGGCGAGGACTGCGAGTCGCTCCTCGAGCGAGGTTGAGACCGGGCGGGCTGCCGGATCGGCGCTCCAGCACGCGAGCATAAACTTGTACAGCGGAGCGTAGCAAGCGTGTGGCGGTGGAAGACGGCCGCCGCAGGCGAGGTAGGCTGCAACGCTGGCGGGATCAAGCTCGTTGACCCCCGCCACACCCGAGTACGGCCGCGCGCCGTTGGCCATAACCTCCCAGAGCACCACACCGAGCTGCCAGACGTCAGACGCCGGGCTCGGCGCGCCACCGGCGAGCACCTCGGGCGCATCGAAGACATGGGCAAGCTTGGCGCGCGCCGAGATTGATGCCGGCAGCGGGAGGTGGGTCGCCGGCTGGGTCAGGCCGTAGTCGCCGACCTTGACAACAGGCTCCGCAAGCGAATCGACAAAGACGTTGCGCGACGAGAGATGTCCGTGGACAACGCCGGCAGCGTGGAGAGCGGCGAGGGCAGCGGCGATCTGGCGGACAAGCACAATCTTGAGGTCTAGCGACCACTCACTGCCTTCGCGAACGAGGAAGGTCTCCAGTGGGCCGTCAGGACAGAGCTCAAACGCGATGTACTCGGAGCCATCGCTGTCCTGGGCGTGGCCGTGGTATGAGAGCAGGTACGGATGGGCACCGAGGGCGGCCATGGTCTCCGGATCGACGCCAAGGAGCACGCCGCCCTTGGTACGGGTCACCGCTAGCGGCACGCCGTCGCGGTCGCCGACAAAAATGTCCTTGTACTGCGAGTGGCCGAGGAGCCTACCGAGGTGCAGGTCCTGCATGGCCACGTCGGCGCGGGCCAGAAGCGGGCGGACGCGCGAGGTAGCGCGCGGACCAGGCGCCTCTACCGGGCCGCCCATCCGCCGTCCGCCGCGAGCCATGCACTCTTCGCATGCATCAAAGTTGCACCCGTGGAAGCAGTGATACGCCTCGCCGCCCACAAAGTAGCGGCGACAGAGGTTGCAACCCCACTGGCCGTCGTGCGCGGCATATGTCTCGGCCATGGCGACGAGGGCGAGCTCGTGGTCGTGGATCGCGTTGGCGTCGCCCACAAGACCACCGGCCCGCCCGCCACTGACTGCCGGCGTTGTACTCCGATGGCATGCCGCGCACTCGTCATATGAGCATGTCGCGCAGTGGAACATGATGCCGCCATGGCTCTGGGCCGTGCACACATCGCACAGCCACGCCCGCCGGTCTGCGGGTAGATCTCTGCCGGGTTGGACATGACGAGCGGGTGCGAGTGCGGAGCGCGGGTCGGGGCCGGAGCCGGGGCCGGAGGAGGGGCCGGGGGGCCGAGTGCGGGGGGGGTTCCAGCCCATCCCGCCCGGCATCATCATCATCCCGCCCGGCATCATCATCATCCCTCCCGGCGCCATTATCATCCCGCCCGGCGCCATCATCATCCCGCCCGGGTGTGCCATGCCCAGCGCTGTCCCGCCCATGTGGCAGGTCGGACACTCGTCATGGGTGCAGGTCTGGCAGGAGAACATGGAGCCACCGACGCACGAGACGCCGCACACGTCACAGACATACATCCCCGTCGGGGGATATGCCTCGGCAGCGACTGTTACCACGAGCGGGTGCTCATGGTTGCCCAGGCTCGCTAAACAAGTCCCACTGGCGCCCCAGTCGTCGTCGTCGTCGTACTCGTCGGCGCTCCACCAGTCGACGAAACCCATGTGGTGTACGGCGGAGGCACTTCACCACTCCCGATGCCCCCCTGGCCTGTGCTCCATCCACCAGATGCCATGCTATTGCCAGTGTCTCTGTTTTCTACCGAGTACTCGTGGTCGGGTGAGCGAAAAGTGTGCCAAGTCAAGGCAATCAGAGCAAGGAAGAAGACGAGATGGGTCACCTGTCGGGTGTTTGTGCAAGATCAAGAAGGTGAAGGCTGCGGAGAACGGGCTGGGCTGCGTCTGGGGAGGGGCAGCCAGGCAGCGACGCACCAAGAGTATCGGTTCCGGCACTGCGGTTGCCGACGAGGGCGTGTGCGAGGCATGCTCGCGGGTGGGCGACAGGTAGGTCCAAGGTCTGACAGGGGTCGAACACACGGGGCTGCAGCGCTCTCATGTCGTGGTCGACTCTTGGCCGGGAGTGGACTGGAGAAGGAGGTCCGAGTTGAGCGAGAACTTGGAGAGGATCTCTGGGTGCGAGATGACCATGTCGCGATACTCCTCAAACGAGATGAGCCCGTCGCCGTTGACGTCTGTCTCAGCAAACGTGTTGTCCACCAGTTCCCTCATTTGGTCGTCTGAGAGGTCCATCATGTAGTTTTCCAGCAGTGAGGCTTTCAGAATCTGGAACAGCTCCTCCTTGTCGATGTGACCGTCACCGTCGATGTCATAGATCCTAAACGAGACTGCGCACCGTTCCAAGACGTACTCTCTCCTGTAAGTGCTGCCCCTCCCCCCTCACCTCCCCTGTCTCCCTCACCTCGCCTCGCCTCGCCTCGCCTCGTCTGCTTGCAACATACGGTCCAGCTTCTCCTCAATGGTGCTTCGTGGTGAGAAGACCGAGAGGCCGAGAACAAACTCTCTGAACGAGATCGTCCCATTGGCGTCCTCATCAAAGGCCTGAAAGATTCGCCTCGAAAAGGTAGAGTCGCGCAGCTCCAGCGCCTGCAGCCACTCTTCCAGATCGATGACCCCATCGTTGTCTTTTGATGCCGAGATGTACTTAAAGTGCTCATACAGCGCCAGCAGCTCTTCCGCAGAGACTACGTCCATCCCACCAAACCAACCCACCACATCTTCATCATGAGTCCCTCATCACCACCTTTGCTTCCTCTCTCTCTTGCCCCGCCAGCAAAAGCCCCATCCTCCCCCTCCGCCTCGCGCATGCATCCCTGCCCTCCCCCCCCC